AAACACAGCAAAAGCTTTAGCAAAAATTCTGAATTGCTTTTCATTGCTTTACATTGGCACCTTGCCTTTAAAAGTCAGCAGTGCAGCTCTGACACAGCTTACACATCTCCTCAACGCTCCAAGAAGTGGAGGCCACCTGCTTTCTCTTGGATAGCTGCTTCTATAGCACTGAATATGAGCGGTCTGTTTTTTTAAATTACTTTAGCAGAAAGAAGGACAAAACATACAAATAAGATGGTTGACACTGATGACAGTTCAAGCCCTAAACACAGCAACGCCGATTCTAAGGCAGCATGGCTTAACCTGGCAGTGCAAAAGTTTCTTTGAGAAAGTGAGACAGAAAACCCCAAACCAATTTTCTCTTTACCCTTTGCAGTTCACTGAAAGACACACCCTCCTTTTCTGCTCTTCTGTTACACCTTAATGAAATAGACACAGGATGAGTTGAGGTTTTGGCAAAAGATCACTATTTACTAGGACCCATTTCTTCTCTTTGCTCCTGTAGAGCTTTGTCCAGCACTGAAACACAACTGGTCCAGCCCTCAGGATTTACTGGCCACCATGAATACATGATCTTTTCCAGGCAACACATTGATCAATGGCAGATTTGAAAGCGAATGGAAGAGATCACAGAAGAGGAAAGGACAATAGCTTTAAAATGGTACACAAAAAGAGAGGGAGGGAGGCGATCAGCTAAAAGGGTAAAAATTAGGAAGAGACAGCCTAGCAATGCCACATGATCACAGAAGAGTCATCCTTCCACCAGTTCATCTGGTGACTCCGACCTGCAGAGGGTGCCTGTAGTGATGGGTAACATGTCAGCTGCTGCCACTTCCTGATGAAAGATTTTTTAGGAATTGTCCAATAAAAATTGTGAAATTTGGTTAACCTTAGCAGTATAAAAAGGATTTATTTTCAAGAACCAACATATTCTACATTAGCATTTAAGATCAAGACATAATGACTTGAGTGGCAAGCGATATGGCTTTTAGTGTGTAATATATAGCGTGTTAGAGTACCAGATAAGAAGTGCATTTATTTTCAGTGGTTAATGGCTCTCCTATTTCTCTTTTATGCTACTTATTCCCTGCAGTAGTTCAGCACGTTTGAACGGTGTGCTCCTCTAGGAGCCTATCCTCAGGGCAGCCAAACAACAGAATGTAAGATGCAGCACACATTTTCCTGGAGCTGAATTGATCATGACATTAAAACCTGACAAACACTCACTGAGATGCTTCTTTATTCACTATGTCCTAGAGAAATGTACTAGCATCTATTAACTAAAAGACATAATAAAAATGTTAGGGCACATGCAAACTCTTGCTAAAAGTATTATATATGTTACTAATCTGTTTCAAAGCCTTAAGAGACAGTAACATGTATTTTTCACCTGATAGTAGGATTGATCACGCCCATGCAACAGACAAATAAGTGTACCTAAACCACCCTTTCAGCATGTGCTCAACTTTCAACACGTGTGGTCCTACTGATGTTATCAAGATTTATATTTATGGATTAATGTCTGAGAAACTTAAAATTTTATTCCACGTTAAAATATCCTTTCATTGAAGTATGTAAGATTTTTTCCATCCATTTCTGTTAGAGCATAATTGGGCACCCAAACTTCACTCTTTTGTTTTATTTTTTTACTGAAATTTAAGAGTCAGTTCAGTTCTTCCTGGAACTCTTCAGTTTCTGTATTTAGCATACACAATGCTACTCTCAATTACATCATTTAGGGAAAATATTCTGTGACTATTGCTTTTAAATGAGTCTGCTGCTGGTCCCAGGGGAAGTAATGTGCAAACTCTTCTTTTAAGGAGCTTTCATGAGCTGCGGTGACACTGACATAACTAACTCATAGTAAAATTTTGTCCCAGATTTGCCAGTCTATAGCAACAAATAGTTTTGCTATCCTTTTAAATCTTTAAATTTTTAAGAAACCGATGCAAAAAGTCTCTATATATGCCACAATCTTTATAATGTCAAATAGATTTGGCAGGTAGTCATGTTCCTTGTTAATAGCCAGATTATGGAACTAAAATATTTATTATGCTTGGCTTCTCCAGCATCTTTTACTGTAAACATTGGAAGACATGTTCATCTTGGCTCGTTATGGTTTCTGTCCAAAGAAAATACATGTTTATAAATTATAAATATACAAATCTGCTTAACGATTTTGTGGGTATGTGTTTATACAGTTGATTATTAATGCTGGGGTAACCAGAATCACAGCATGAAATGTTCTGCATAATACTTTTCCCTTCTGCTTGACATTTTTCTGTATTACTTTATTCTTTAATTGTCCCCATGAGGCCATCTACCCCATCTGCCTCAAGAAACACGCAAGCATGCAAGGTTTGAACTCTGCTACTTTATGTTTGTAATATTATGTGCAGCATGAAGGCCAGGCATGAGCAGCAATCTGTACTGCTTTTATATGCAAGCAACTAAAAAGAAGAAGAGCTTAAGTGCCTATCTGGAAGTATGAGGCCTGACATAATATCATCAGATAAATGCCACAAAATCTCTGAACTAGATGCTATCTTTGCCCTGCATTTAGTACCTTTAAACAGAGGCTGGTTCCTGACTCCTGCGAAAAAGAATGACAAAGAACTCCTGGGAGAACAAAAATAATGTCTACATGTTAAGTGGGCCAGCCTAGACAGGAGAGCCATGTACAATCAGGAACCTGAATACTACCTATCCTGGCCCATCAGAACATGTGAGGTAGAACCAACAGGGATCAGTTCACCAAAGCAATTCAAATGTTGAGACAGATGTATAGATGCACACAAAAGGAAGAACCAGAATGAGGAAGAAAGAGAGACAAGGGCAAGGTACAAAGACCAAGGGGCACAGACACCCTTCATCACTACATTTCATAATGACGAACACTGGGTACTGCAGACACCTTTCACAGAAGGACTAGAGAAAGTGATTGCTATAGACTTTGTGCTGTATCCTACATCGGAGACACCAGCAGGAGAGGGAACAAATCAATACTCTACTGGTAAGCATGGCCAGGAAATGAGGAAATTGTTTGATCTTTCCATCACCACAATTCAAGCTGGAGCCAATCTTAGGATAGCATACAAGTGGTATCCCTCTAGAAAATGTTGGGCTTACTTCATGGAAAAATTTCATTTGAGGACCTATGTGCCCACCAGCGAGGTGGAAAAAGCCAGGAAAGGCTACCATTGAGAAGCAGAATGGGCAGCCTCATCCTCTCAGGATGAGGGGGAGAAAAAAGAGGGAGCAGAAAGAACCAAGAAGCTCAAAGTGATTTTGCTGCTGTCTCCTCATATCTTGCCTGTGAGAATGGGGCAATCCACTCTGAGACACTTTTCCCTTTCTGCAACAGGCAGATTGGGAGTTCAGAGCAGAACGATGGAGATCTGCTCTGATCATGGACTTGGTGTAGTTACTCTCCAGACTTGGAAGTGGAGTTAAAGGACCTCCAAAGGTGCAGAAGCTGCTGCTGCAAGACCAAGGGAGAACTAAAACGAGATGATAATAGTGATGCATAATACTATCAGGTTAATACACTGGAAGATATATAATTAAATGATTTAATTCTTGAATACAGAGAAGCTTGATTAGCTGGTATTTGGAAATTACTTAGAAAGACATTAAGTGCTCCTATGTGCAATGCTGTAAGAGCCACTGGAGCAGATATGTCCGATGGATGTATTTTCCGCTCTTGACCATGGACTGCAGTAAGATATTAAACATGCACTTGTTAGTCTTTATTTTTGAAATCTTCATATTACTACTGTTATTATTTACATTTATTACTTATAAGAGAGAAAGTACATATTTCACAGAACAGTATGATCAGACTACAATGTAGAAGTATCTGCAGGATATGGTTTGTCTCTATTTTAATCTGAAATCTGTGAACAGTGAACAAATCACATACCCTTTCATAAGGATGACACCCATTAAGACTGATTATACTTTTCTCTGACAGAGTTTGATTCTAAATCCAGTGTTTTTCAAAAGTAACCTACAGAAAGTGACAGAAATTGGTTAAATATTCTATTTTGTGTTTAAAGATCTCCAACAAATTCCACATAGTTTTCTTTAGGAAGAATACAATTTTGATGGAGAAGAGTGTTGGATGTCACCTTTCTCATTCTAAGTGCACCTTCTCTTTGCTCCTGTGACCTCCTTCCTTCAAGGGGCACTGTAGTACAGGACACGTGCATTTTGCATTTAATCTCTTTCTGTTGCCTGCTGGACATCCATTAAGCCATTCTGAGACAGGCTGTGACATACCTTAAGTTAGACTGCTCATTCACATCTGACAGAAATTATCACAGAATCATAGAATGGTTTGGGTTGGAACAGACCTTTAAAGACCATTATTGTTGAAGCTGCTCATTTAGACTAAACATAGATGTGGACAGCTTATGTTCTTCATCAATAAAGTAAGACAATTTGCTAACAGCTTCACCTCCCACACAGGTCTTGGTTTTCTCTCTGTCCAACGTTGTTCACCTCATTTTATAACTCCCTTCTCTTTTCACAGAAGAGAAACTGGAGCTTCATCATCATTCCAGGTATAATCAGTTCTGCAGCTGGGAACTAACAGCAAATAAATCACCAGTACTCTGCAGCAAGCACCACAGCAAGAACTGTCCACACTAGGACTCAGTGGAAACACCAACCTTTTCCAGCAAGCATTGATTCCTGACAGATTGTCCTAAAAATGTGTGCTCAGAATCGATACCAGTGAACAACCACTGACACATTCAGGCCATATGCCCATGAAGCTCACTTACACCATGCCGAGATGACACTCATCTTCCTGCCACCTTCCCCTGACATGACCAGCCTGACTTAGATCCCTTCACAGAGCCTTTGGTGAGCTCAGTCTGCCCACACTCAACCTCAGCTAACAGCTGTTTGATGTGACACTATCACTGAGTGTCAGCTGGCAAACCCTGCTGAAAGGTAGGATAGGGCTGTTGAGGATCTGAGCTACACTAAGGTGAGCTCCAGGTTATGCACAGCAGGACTCCCACAATTTCCTTTCTCTTATTTGCCTTGTAGAAGATCCAAGTTAGGAATAAAAAAGCCAGAGCAGCTGCTTGCTCTTCTTCAAGATGCTATTCTAGAAAAATGGAAATTTTGCACATTCCTGGGCACAACACGGAGGAAAGAGATGAGTCTGTCAGGAAGATGGGACAACAATGCACTGAAAATGTCCACGTATATTCCTCCTTCTGAGAAAAAAGCTGCAGCAATCTCCATAATAAGAGTTATGAGTGAATAAAGATGGACACACACTTCTCCACGGAAAACTTTATCTAGATATTTTTGTACTGTCCATCTGGAGAGAAGGGAAGGAAATGCAAGTTTTCCAGGGCTAACGAACTGAATTACGCTGAAAGCAAACAGGCTAGTCTAATAACACACACCTAGTGAAGACGAGATTTCTGAGATATGACATAACTGAAAAACTATCAGATCCAATACCGAAAAATTTCTGCTGGTCCAAGCAAGTCTGAGATATCTCCACATAGACAGTACTGTAGCATGCTCAAATTGTTTTTCCCATTATCTTTTCAACTTCTATAATAATCTCCCATATTACTAAGTTTAGTGGTTTGTGAACTACAGTTTTATGCATCAGACATATTATATGAACAGACCATTACTGATTGAGAAACTATAAATTTCAACTCTATTACTGTGATAGGTTTTAATGCACACCAATAAATTTGATTCATGCTTTTACTTTTTTTCCTCCAAGTACAACCTATGCGCTCACTAAATAATTCTTCTCCTCATCCCATTGCTATCTATCGAGGATTTTGATCAGATATATGTGAAATCAGTTCCCTATTTTGAAAACATTAATCTGCTCCCCTTGCCATCATTTAGTCACAGACTTTACAGTCTTTAACCTTTATTCTTTTTGAACTTTTTTGTATGACGCTTGCATACCAGCATCCCACTGTGACTGATGGATATGCATTTAGAGTTTATTTTTATTTCAGAACATTACAACAACAATGACTGCAAACACATTACGTAGATCTCAAACTACGGCTGCCTAGAGTGCTTGCTTAGCACAAGAGGGATTTACGCATTGTATGTGTTATGAAAACACATAATGGGCATGTACAAGGACAAACATGTACAGAGACCATGCTTAAATGATCTAATAGAAGTAATTATGTTATCAAAAGTGTATGTTCATATTTAATACTGGGAAGGAAAGGAAACACTTTTAGGAGAATCGCAGCATACGCTACTATCTTTATGCCAAGGCACTACAAGGCACGCCCTCACTTTGGCTTGAATCCGTTTCTCTCATGGCAGAGTTACAATGAAATACTGTTTTTACAAATAATTCATTAATACAGCATTACTATTTTGGGAGTCCTAAGCGAAAACTGTTTCCTTTCTGCATGGATAGACAAGTGTGCTTTTGAGAGAAGAACAGGCTTTTTTCCTTGCCTTTTGGATATTTGCAATTCAGCTCCTAAGGTCACCAGCATATACAGCAGGTTCCCAGGCGTTTCAGTGCTAAGTATTTGCTCCACAAGAACAGTCATGAAGAATTTATACGTGTGCTAAAACAGATTTTATGCTACATGTGCTGAACCTTCTCCTCAAATGCTACTTCTTAGGACATTTTGCCTCCCTCATGCATCTTACAAGCCCGGCTGGAGGACTGCAGGAGAGGCATTACCTTCTTGAACATTCTGGTAGAGTCTTCGCTTATCTGCATGAACCGCATGATCACGTTGTTTAGGTAGATATCGCTCAACGTTGCATGGTCTTTGCTTTCTCTTCTCACTTGGTTCAGGAGTAAGTACCAGCAATTCACTGGTGACAGGAGGTTCTGGTCTTTCCTAAGGAGGAGATACACTCATGTATTATGTACAGAAATTAAAAAGTTATATTATTAACACAAACATCCCCCTGACATTTACAGCCATAACTTGTTATGTAAAAATGGCTGCTTCTGAACAGTCAGTCAATCTGTTCTTGGAACAACTTGGGTTAGGCTAGCTTCAGATCACTTTTAAGACACATTCTATAAATCCCATGAGGCATGGGTACAAAAATATAGAAAAAGCATAAGGATTCAGAACACTGCAAGCCACCTGAAAGTATTAGTCTTGCCACACATCTTACGGTTGCTTACAGATGGAGCACATGTAAATATTCAAAATCAACAAAGGTCACTGCTGAAAGAGTAACAGTAATTAATTTTTTACATTAGAAATAAACGAGCACTGCAAGTGCATCCCAAATCCTTCATGAGCAAAATTGCAGGTGTAGCTGTTTCACCGCAACGGATTTGTGTATCTGCTATAAAAGTAGAAGGTAATGCCACAGGCATACATATTCTGTGATCAGTGTTCATAAATTCACAGCACCCATAAGTACACTGCTACTGCCAGTCACAGATGGTTCAATTACATGACAAACAGGAGGACTGGACTTTTTCCACAGTGGTCCAGTTCTGAAATTACTTGTCAGACTATTTGCATTGTAGGCCCACTCCAAGCTTTTAATATTGCAAAAAGTGAAATCACAGATGACTTCTCATTTCTTTTACACAAAGCAAAATAAAAATACATGCAGTTCAACAACTGTTTTACAGACAACAAAAACCTATTTATAAAATTTGCCTTATGATTATATTGAAATTTTAACTTCAAGTTTGCCTTGCAACTAAGTGCTCTAGAAACTTGCTGCTCTTTTTTTTTCTCTTGTGCAGGGATTCTCCTATAGCCAAAAGGAGCAAGCACGTGAAGATAAAACAGCCAGAGGTGGTGAAGAATTGAGGGAGAAACTCCTTCTACTCCTGGTAAATTGTTTTAATAATTAACTATTCTCACTGTTAGAAATATGCCCTTTAATTCCTTATCTAATTGCTTACCTTTAGCTTTCACCCTCAGAATCAAAGCAACAACGAATGATTAACAGACAAAAGCCTTTTGTTAATCATCAGTGCTTTGCTTTGCTATGAATCAGAAGTGAGCTAAGGAAACTTCCCCATTTTGTTTGAGATGGACATCTTCACAGTGTTACTCACAGCAAGAAGCTTCAGGGTTTTATCAGCCAGGTCAGCCAACATAAGCACCCCTGAAGGGTGATACTACTCAGTCCTCACTGCTTCTGCATGTCCCAAAGCCAGTCCCACAGACCATCGTGCGTGTTCTGGGGGGAATGGTGGGAACAGCACAGGGGACCAGCAGTTAAAATGACTTTTGCTGCAACCTCTTCTGAAAGTAGAGAATTACAGAAGAAAGCCAAAGGCAGGACTCCAGTCATAACCCCCGTGCACATCTGCCAGTCTGGATTTAACACGTTTAAGAATGAGGAAAGATGTTTCTACGCACAAGGCAGAAAGGTTTTGCCACAAGCTGCATAAAGCCAGGGCACTCTCTGAAGTGGTGACATATGCACATGTTGGTTATTTCAGAGAATCATTTAGTCACTTAACTGAATTTTAAGAAATATACATTACTGCTCTTTGAACTGTGTAAGCTGTATTTGGATTAACCTTTCCCTTGCCAGATGTGTTTGGAAAAAGACTTTTGTCCTGAAACAAAATGTCTGTGTACCTCTAGCACAGCACTGACTGGACAGTGGAAAAAGGTACTTATTTTTCAGTTTTACAAACATAAAATATTGTTTTATACCCATAAGCATAGCAGGTCCAGGCAAATTAATTCATTAATCATCTCAAATCAGGAAAATAACCAGATGAGGCTATATCAGCAAGTAATGCATTTGAAACACTTCAGAAAACATGCTGTACACACTTGACCACTTTTTTTTTGCACACAAGTTACTACGCCATGAAAGGGATACATTAAATTGTAAGCAAGGCATAACATTCATATCATCTTCATTTCCAGGAATAAGAGGGGTCAAGGGGCAAACAAGTTCACATGAAACCACAAATCAATAAATTTTTTCTTCTTAATGCCTTTTTTGCCAAAATTCTTGTCTTTTTTTTTTTTTAATGGTGGTTGACCTTTATTTAGACACTTTCAAATCCTATCAACTCCACTGCAAGAGATCAGCACACAGCTCTCAAGCCCTTTGGGGGCTCTGCATCTCTTCTAGATACTGGCTGTATTTTGGGTAGTTTAAATTCTGTATGGGAGGTTAGGGAAAATATTTGTGCAGCTTACATATTAAGAAACTGAAACCACTTGTCAGAAGCTTACATGAATAACTGCAGAGGGCCAAATCCTCAAAACAGTATTTAGGCACCTGTCTACTTTCACCTGCAATGAGAACTGCTATGCTGCTAAATAGAGGTGGGAATTTTAAACATATCTTTGAACCTGGGCTCAGCCTGGCAGTACTCCAAACCAGCAGAAGCAAAGAGTGGCGTAGCACTCCATCAGTGGCTAACACGGGGGAGAGGGGGAAGGAAATCTGCCTTACTTGTACTGCTGATGATCCTTTGTACTTCTTGTTTTTGCCATGAACCTCTCTGCCAGTTTTTCCAGGTTTCGGGAATACTCCATCTCTATTTCTGACTTCTTGCGGAAGAAATCCTGCAGATCCTGAAGAAGCTGCACTCTCATTTCAGTCTGCTGCTCCAGGCATTTCTGCTGCTCGATGAGTTGAGCACGGATCTCTAATGAAAGAAGCACACATCCACTCAGGTCAGTGAAGTAAATGAGAATTGAGTGTTACCAACCAAAATTACAATTACTCCAGCATACTTCAGCTTCACAGCTACACCAGATGGATCTGAATTTCAGGTCCTGCGGTGAGACACAGCAGTGGCAGCTCTCACTTCTGCCACCACAAACTTGTGCCCCAGCATCCTCCCACCTGCTGTCTGTCTCACAAACGGCTGTGGCAAGGGCTCAGGACTCTGCTGGGCTCACGTGAGCAGGAGACCTGCCTCCTCCTTCCTCTCCCATCCTCTTCCTGGCCTCTGGCATTAGCACAACATCTGGCTTGGAGTGATCTCCTTGCAGGAGGTAGTGTGCAACTATTTGAGCAGCAGCTCTTTCTGCTGCCCTAAAACATGGCATGATAAACAAGCACCCTTTGGTCCCGGATCAGCCTGCTGACTGCCAGGTGGGCTGGTTGGTATCATGTACACCATGGAAACAACCTTGTGATAAACTCTGGAGGCATTATCCACCATAACTGTGCACAGATGAGCTTCTGTATCTGCCCCATCGCTGCCAGGGAGGGAACTGGTATACTATACATGCATTCACCAATATTTTACAGCGCATGTAGAGGAAAAAGTGTACCTATATTTAGAGATAGCTATTTGAAAATTTGCACAAGGTGCCAGAGTATTAACGTAAAACAAGATCAGTCAATGTAGAAGAGTATATATGCTCACAGTCATCACCTAGAGTAACAGGGAAAAGCTTCCAGATTTCTTACCACTGTTTGCCATATACACAATTGCTATGTGGTAGGGGTCTTCTTTTCTTTCTTTTTTTCTTTTTTTTTTTTTTTAAGCATTTTTATTTCTTGAGTGCTAAGCAGTTAATCACATTCCGGGAACACTTAGTCTAAAAACTTCCCTCTGGTTCTTTTCAGAGACTGGTTCATGAGAGTTTGTCAGCTGCCCAGGTACAACGTAATCCGACTTTGTGGAGTAAACACAGGAGTAAAGATTTTGTGACCATAATATATGTATATACATTTTTAAACAGTCTAATGTCATAACAAGGACTTATCGATAGCAAAACAACATGCCAGAAGTGATGTCCATGTAAATGCAAAACTGTTGCTAACTTTTACTTGATTCCTAATGATGTAACCATGCTGTGGGCAAGAAGATATGGGAAATCCTAGATGTCTCACTGGTTTGAAACAGAAAAGCATTCTAAAAACCACCGCTAACATCACAGGGAACTGCAAACCAGTAAGTAGTAATAACATTGCAAAAAATTACCTGATGCAATTAGGAACTAATGTATTCATACTTATCTTAAAGCAGGTACAAAGGCAAGAGATCCACTCTGCTGGGATTCGAATGTATATACTGAAATAAGGTAGTATAAGCACAGAAAACTGTTAAGTCATTATATTTACTGGAGGAGGGAGACACTGCAGTATTTTCTTCCAGATCTCCTTTGAGCTAACCAGCTGCTGTGTTAATCATTAATGAGACCATCCATTTTTATAGTCTGGGAGGTGAACCAAAAAATCCATGGTTTGGTTTTCATTTCATTTCAAATCAGTTTGTTGGAAAAGGACCATGCCTCCAGCAAGGATGAGCCACTGTAATACAACACTGTATCAATGACATTCATGTACATACAGGAGAAAATCACATTGGAGCTGCAAGGTTATTAACAGAAACAAAAACCCAAGCCTGCTTTTTTGGGTGTCTGCTACTTTTAATATTGCAATCATGGAAAACTCCTGTGTATAGGAAACCAGTTGTAGAGATTCACTGATCAGAAGCAGCAATTTTGTGCATAAGCTGGAGTTTTGACTAAATCCAAATCCATGTACATGGTCCCTGTATGTTGGCCATCTCCCTTTCCCACTTTTCTCCCAGTTATTTTACAAGCAGAGCTCTGTACAGAGCAACTATGTTCTGATTATTTTGTAGGTCAGTGGATCTTGCTGCTATAATTCTTCATTTTTAGGCAGGCTTTTACCATAGCAACAGGAAAAAGAAAGATTTTAGAAACAGGAATGTACGAATAGAGATACGTGAAAAAACGAACAAGGGACGACAATGAGAAATTGCATTAGCTTTCCGATGCTGTCTGGATTTCCAGTGGACAGTGTTGTCTTCAAACTTCTATATTAGAAAACAAAATTGGAACATGATCTCTGAAAGCCGATGGTGGCTGAAGTGTCCAAGCTCTGAGTAAGGTCGTAAGTTAGGGGGACAGGGGGACTGCAGCTTTATGAAGGAAGTTCAGTAATTTCTGACTATTTGAATCTGGGCAAGGAGAAAGAACATGCTGGCTCCAAAAGGCTGAGCCTCTGACCTCCCGCTGGAGGAGAAAAAGGGGAGATGCATGTCCCACTCACGCCAGCTGACCAGAGTCTGTCCAGACGAGACTTCAGCATAGCAGTTCTCTTCCAGTCTTTCATGTCCTTCCGCTCATGCACTTTTTAATTCTTCTTTTACTAATAATGTGTGTAATGCTATATTGGCAAGCTGAGGAGATGGCAATGAATAAGAAATCAGATCAGCAGATGTTGTGATTTTCACTTTCTGATAAGAGAAAACTGTGGATTTAAAAAAAACACAACCCACTAGCAAAATACCCCAACAAACACTGGCATAACAGCCAGCCAGCCTGAGTGGCTGTGCATCACAAAATCACAGCTGCCCAAGTACTATTAACTAACATAGACTACTCATTACCTACTGCTACGGAAAAATGCACGAAGGCAACGCTATCTTCTTTAACCAATCCACACGTGTGATTTCCCTAGGGCTACAAAGAATGGCATGGAAAATTGTTGCATTGTATTCAAAGAAATAAATACCCAATATCCTGAGAAGGTGCCAAGTTAAAAACTAGTAGAGCCCAAACTCCATAGATACAGAGACAGATGCAGGAGGCACCAGAAGGGTGTCTGTCTTTACTTTGCTGGCACATTTAAATTCAAAGTTGAACTGATACCAGCTGTAATGGACAATGACATTGTCCTATTCTGCTCTGCAGGGTGGCTGTTGTCAAGCAATTGCCAAACTATTTTGTGCCAGGAACAGGCACGTTTAAAGCCTGGACAAATTAACACCTTCTCCATCTCTGCAGAGCAGCTTTGAGTCATACTCACTGGTTTTTGGGCCAAGGGCTGGTTCAAAAGGAATCCCATCCATTTACACTGCAGCTTGAACAGACTGAATTCACATCAAGTGGAAAAAAAAACCCTACCCTTTGTCCAAGATTTACACACATGACCAAAGCAAGGAAGCAGCTAATATGACTGTAATTAAATCAATAACCTCTAAGTAAAGTTTTATTTCTAAAGATTTTCATGTTAAAAATTATTGCAGTTATACCTTCATTGACACCATCCTCTAGAATTACTGCATTAAGTATAAAATCAGGTTTTGTTTCTGGCAGCCTGCAAGACAGAACTCTAACCTTTCAACAAATCTGTATTTTCTTCTGACGAGAGGTTAAATCAGTGCACTATGAAAAGCAAAAGGAGACAAGATTACACCTGTTTTGAGAGTTAAGTACAGAGCAGATGAAGCTGAGCTACTGACATCACCCAAATCATAATCAGAAAGAAATTCGTCAAGGTTACCGCTTTGCACACAGTACAGTATTACAAATAATGACTTATATAGCACTGCATATTACACCATACTACCCTGGAGAAGATATGTGTAACCAGTTATAGGCCAGTGCCCCACCTGAAGGCACCCGTGGTGAGATATACTGCAATGTGACACACAACGATGACGCTGGCCACACACCAGCAAGAAACAAAACTCGTCACCTCCACTTCAACATACACGAAGGCACCAGGATCCATCAAACATCCCCAAAAGCCATGGGAAACCCCCTCCTGACCTGACAAGCCAGACACATTGTAAATACACAGTATTAACCAAATTAACCCACTGGCAGACCAACACTTTGCCTGCGGAATGCCACCCCGCCGCAGCACTCCCCACTGCAATGCCCGCATCCCTGCCCGCAATGCTGCAGTGCTCCTGCTGCACCGCACTAGGCTGTGCCTAGTCTTGTCAGCCCTCGGAGACCTTCCAAGCCACCGTGAACACTCATTACCAACTCTTGACCAAAGCAACTCTAATGAACTCTTCATGGTGCCATTACACGCCTGCTGCGAGCCACTTTCTGCCCAGGCCACCCCATGAGCTGTTGCAGCCTGCCGCCCTTAACTCCTGTTTAAGGGAATTAACTTTTGCTCGCAGGGTTTTTGGTGTATGCTGAAAGCTCTGGAAGGTGTCTCAGAGACACCTCTCCCTGGCCACCCCCTCGGCATCCCACCTGCTGCCTCACTCTGCCTAGCAAGGAGCTATATTTAAGTCATGATTACAACACACAAACTACGCAGACACATTAATCCAGCAGTATTACTGGGTAATAATTCAGACAGCCTCAGAGCCCCATCCTCCGAATGACTTACAAAGGCAAATAGTTTGTCAGAACTATTTGAGAGTACAAATAGGCTCTCACAAGGCATAGTTATGTTTGCAGGTTTTATCTGCTTGGGTAGCTTCAGATAAAGCTGTATCACCTCCTTTCTTTCTTTAAATACCACCTTAAAAAAAAATTTAAAATTTTACATGAGTTTTAAAACACTCAGAAATGTCTCATCAAATGCAGTAAGGACAATACATGGTATCTTAGACTTTCTGTTTCCAAACCATTCCATTACAACTTAGTAATTTTTTTACCCCAGCGAGCTATGAACACACATATCCCTCATTCTCACATTTATGATATCCAGATCATATTACACAGGAAAAGATTCAGACATTAAGTTCAGCCTAGATATCATCTGGTGACCAACATACATTTGTAATTAAGCAGATGTTGGAGCGTTAATCATCTTGCAGTTCTTCCTTGAAGATCCTTGGGCCTTACATGACTCTCGCTGTGCCTCAGTTATTTAGCATAAGAACGGCGCATGTCTGAGCCTGCTGCCAGAAGCTGGGGTGCTGCATTGGGGGACTGATCTTTCCAGTTTCATCCCAGCCTTCCTCCTTTGTAAGGACCTGCTTTTGGCTTCTCTGTTGAGATGGGCTAAGCTTTGGTCCAGCTGAATGCAGCTGGCCAACATCTGCAGTTTAGTTTTTGTTTCAGTAAAGTGCTTAGCTCCAGCCTACTGAGGATGCTGCCAGAAGAGAAACCACAGCAGGATTCACTGAGGGGGGCCTGGAGGTGCCCCTGTGCACCGTTAGTAGTCCTTAACGCCATGTCACCCCTAGGATCAGCTCCCACACCTGCCACAGATGTTAAACTGCCTCTCAGCAGACAAGAAGATAAAGATGATGAGAGGTATCAGCCCTGTGGTGGGTGCTCTGGCCCAGCCGCTGATACTCCTCTCTGAGATACACAGCCTAAAGGTACTAGTACTGGACAAGCTTTTCTTTCTCAGAGCCATGGCTAGAAAGCTATTTAAGTGTTTCTATGACAAATGGTGAGGGAAGCTCTGTGGTCGGCAGGGAGTCTGGCTCACGCTCTCTTCCAGGTCCTTGCTGCCATTTTCCCGGACCACAAGCACTTCGAAAGTCAGGAAATTCCACCAGCCTGACAGCTGATGAGAGATGCTGGGGTGAATATCTTGCAGGCTGCTGCAGAAATGCCTTTTAATAGACCATGAGCCTGTCCCACAACATTAACTTTCTATGACAGACAAGTGGAAATCACTTCCGTATGTTCAACATGCAAGTAAGAAGTGTGGCTGCATAGGCAGTGATGCCCTTGAGCTTCTGAAGGCAGGACTTTGCGGACGTTATTCTACCCCCCCAGCTGATTTCACTTAGGATGTTGAGCATACAGCTTTATGCATGTTCCCACTTAGAGTGAAACCTCTGCAATGCACACCCCAGCTCTGAATTTACTGTTTGGCTTTTTGCCATTTCCCAGAGAATTCATTTCAGACATTTTGTTTTCTGGGGGGTTTGGGGGGATGTGGTTGAGGTTGCTTTTGACAGAACACGTCTCCAGGCTGTAGTAGCCTGTGGAAATGGATGGGGAGTGGGAATCACACCTGGTATCTGAAGGGCTGTACAAAGGGTCAGGAATCTGAAGCCCCTGTTGACATGTCAACCCCTTTAAAAACTGTAAACCTTGTTCATTCAAGCACTTTGGCGTGCTTAAAGATAAAACAGTCCTTGTGCAGCCATTAGCAGGAAAGCTGGTGTAGAAGCCATGTGCAGGACAAAGACAGTTGTTTACAGGTTGCTTCAGTTGTTATGCTGAAATAAAGAGTGCAGAAAAAGAACGAATTCTCTCCTTGCAGCTGCAGACTTCCTTCTACACATTCAAACAGACTCCTACCTACTGCAGCCACAGACTGAGCAACAACATGCCCCCAACCAGAACTATGTAACTGGGGGATCCCAGTGGACGGGATCCAAAAGGAGTGGCTGCATTAGGGCACCTTCCACCTTCCAGCTCCCCTTGAAATGGGAAGACATGTCTGGAAGAGCCAAGAAAACCTCTATATGTAGCTGAAGAAGCTTTTCTTCTTGTTGTTCTTGGACTAATGCCCTCCTGCTATTCACAGCCACAGCTGCTGGTCACTTGGCTGCCTACAGTCCAAGCCTGAATGGAGGGCAGCATGCCAGCTCACGACTTGGCAGGACACTTCTTGCCACAGCATTACTGCCAAGAGACCGTGGGTTTAAGCAGGCACTCTGCCTGCACCACATTTTGAGTGCCACTGCTCCTTGCGGCAGCTGCTCCTTTGCACCCATAACTACGTCCCACCAAACCTTGAGCCCAGCATACGTTGTCCTTCTGGTCACAGGAGTTGGGACTCCGAGGACAAAAACTTCTACCCTTTAGAGGAGAAGGAACTTGGTTTTGTTCGACAGTAAAATCCCAGCTCATCCCAAAACCACTGCCAACCAGAAGAGAAGAGAGCAAAGCGCAAGGAGCCTCCTCTGCCTCAACGGTCTGATGCAACGTCTTTCACCAGCCTGACCCAGCCCTGACCGCCCGCTGTGGGAGCAGATGCTCTCCTGCAATCCAACTGCCCCACCTCCAGACAAACAAATCAGCTCTGCAACCACCACCACACAAAAGAAGAGCAAAGAATCAACATCAAATAAGCCTCCAACACATTTAAGAAGAACAAAACAAAGCAGAAACTACCCCAGCTGGGCATTCATGGCAAAGGCCTGTAGCCTTAGAGAAGAAAGAGAAGGAAAAAAAAAGAGACAGACAAGGAGTCTGTGGGCATCTCTGCCTGCCAAGCAGACAGGCGATCATGCAGTAGGTGTCTAAAAACCCATTTAGGTCATCTAAACTGTCAAGATCTATGTGACAACTTATTCTGAAGCTTCTGAAGGATTTAGACCATTTTTTACGCTTGTTAAAGATACCATGAGCCTTTCCTTGCAGACTTAAATTTTGGGCACATGAGAAAATTAAAAGGAAACCTGGTACGCCCAAATCTTTCTCCTCTTCTTACCAATGAGGTATCTGTCAGCAGAACAGAAAAATGACTCACGGCTATCCTCTGAATAATTCTTTGCAGCAATGTCTGGAACGCCGGATTGACAAGAGCACTCTACAAGAAAAAGCCATACCCCTTCCTGGCCACAGATTTCTATAAGTCTATTATTTAATTTGATTATTATAGACTGCTATGATTGCTCTAATCAGTAGATTAAATGTATCCTTCCTTCTGGTTATTTTGTCTGTATGGAAAATTCTTTCTTTCCAGAACACAGACTGTCTCTTAACTATTCAACAGAATTCACCCAGTACATGCTCTATGCTATGTCCTTGTTACGTTTGCTCTTCTGTGTTTAGCTCATAAATTCTACACTTTAACTAGCACCTAAGGAAATGTTATTTCAGCTACACTACTTCATAAAGTAGAACAAAAGAACCCCTTCATTTCTAGAGAGTTAAAAGCAGTTTTAGCATCAACCGATGGTCAAGCTCACATCTCCCAGAAATTCATGTCAGCAAAAGATCAAGGCTTGTAAGCTAAATTCTGACCTCTCTGAAATCAATAGAGATTTGTCACTAACTTTACTCATGCTGGGATTACTATCTTTACTTAAACTTAAAAGAAGCTTACACTATCAAAGCAAGCAGCCTTTTTCCTTCTTACACCCAAGCTACACAACCCTCCCAGGCCACCATGTCTCAATACCAGAACTTCTGCAGACAGACAGAAGGACTAACCCATAGAGGGAAAAGAAGTGTTTCCTGATGTTTACGCTCCACAGGTATTGTCAGAGCAGGGACAAGAAAGGCAGGCGTAGCTCAGACCACTCATGTCAGTGCCATTACAGATCAGCCTCAATCTCTTTCGAAACCTTCCCAGAAGTTGGTAGCTATAACAAAGATCATTTTCCAGCAGCAGTTTACACTGGTGAGTGAAACACTACATTCTCACCAGGCTCGGCAGGAGCACGTGTGAAGTCTTGGGAGAGGCTGCCCATTTTGCATTGACAGCAGCGCGCAGGCGGGCAGAGTGGAGGTGGCCAGGCTGGGGGCAGCGGAGCCTGGCATGCAGGCACCAGTACCACGAGACTGGGACTGCAAGAGAAACTCAAGCCTTACGAACGGGATGATCTTTAGGGATCAGCAGAGCAGCTGTTCTGAAGTGAAAACAACACTGCTGTACAGGTGGGGTGGTTTTACTGCTCCTGAAATGCTGAATCAGGTTTACAAACCAACTCAAACTACAAGGTGCCATTTTTCTGGGTGACAGTCAATTCTCTTGCTCCTCGCAGACAAACTGCTGGCAGGTTTTATCTTTCCATATGCGTATCTGTATGCTTTCATTTCAGGCCACCTGGAACTTTAAAAAAAAATCTCCTTATTTTTGTAGAAATCCTCTACCTGTGAATCCACTAGTTTGATGAAGAACTCATAATACTTACTTTTTAAAAATTAGTATAATAATTTCTCCTTGGTTTGTGTTTTGTTACTTTCTTTTAAAACCAGAACAGACTTGAGGAAATAGTTACAAAGCTTCCTACTGCTCAGGGCACTGTTAATAGAGCTAATTACCTGTACAATGAAACAAGCAATATAAGGTAAACCATCACTGAAGGTCTGCCTATGTAAAATGACCATGGGAGTGCAATGAAGTCAAGTAATGTATCTTAATAAGCATTCCCCAAAACAGTCTGATTTCAGGCCCCACCTCCATGGGTATTTCTGAGCCCATAGCCCTTAGCTGCCTAGCTACTAGATGCGGTGGCCAACTGGCCATAGAGTCTCCTTAGATGGTATTGTGGACTGTTGCCCTCCGAAGGGCTCCTCTGAGACGAGCGATGTACCCATCAGACTACAGCGATGAAGAAATGGAAAAGAAACGGAGCAGCAGCTGATAATCTTAAAGTTGATGGTAAAATGTAAAGGCAATGCTGGATGTATGCAGGTTTACAGACCCTGAGATCACCATTGTCGACCTTGTATTAAAATGCGGGCAAGCTTGTAAAACAAACCCATTCTTGCCATAGAGGACTTCTGGATAGCCTTTTGCTTCCCACATGCAACCGTATTTGGTCACTGCTGTGTCAGTTTTAGCAATTTCCCCTGTAAGCAGCAACAAAAAGGAGGAAATTGCAAGGCAGATGGAAGACGCGGTAGTCCTTTCCTTTCCCATCTTAATTTGCACTTTCGAGATGGTGTTCTGAGTGTGCGGGAGCTGCTGATGCACAGGGGAACCTTGAGTCCTGCCTGACGCTGCTTAATCACCTTAATGTGGCAGATTTAGGTCCTCTTTTTTCACCTTTCTCTAGCACTCAGAAATTATTTTAGTGTTTTTATTAACTCATTCCTCCTCTAATTAAATTTAGATGGTAAAAATATCTAAGACAGATTTCAGACTTTCATAATTGCTATGACTTTTCAGAATAATATGCAAGGGCTGGTGAGAAAAGATTTGTAGTGAAAGCAAGTTCTCAGTTACCCTGGAAATAATTCAAGGCAACTCCACTCCTTCAGTACCCTCATTTTAGATGCCCTTTCTGCTCCCCGTTACCCTAACGGCCAAGAGTTTATTATCTTGAAAGATGTAACGTGACAATTCAAAGAACATTTTACATCTTTCTGCGTTAGCCGATGTCAAGCAGAAACAAGTAGTCAACTACTAGGTGCTGCACCAGTACCGCAACAAGCAGTGTTACGTACGTCCTCGCTGTACAGTCTGCGCACTAAGCACAAAATTCTTGGTAGCTACAGCATCTGCTTTAAAAAGGTTCTTCTAAATCATAGAATCATAGAATACCTTGAGTTGGAAGGGAACCATAAAGATTATCGAGTCCAACTCCCTGCTCCTCGCAGGACTACCTAAAACTAAACCATATGACTAAGAGTGTTGTTCAGACACTCCTTGAACTCTGACAGGCTTGGTGCCGTGACCACTTCCCTCGGGAGCCTGTTCCAGTGACCAGCCACCTACTCAGTGAAGAACCTTTTCCTAATGTCCAGTCTGAACTTCCCCTGATGCAGCTTCATTCCATTTCCATGTGTCCTATCACTGGTTATCATGGTTTTATCTTTCACAGATTAGCTTCCCTCTCTCCTGGATATTTCGACTGACAATTGATATCAGCTGGAACTCACAGGCCTGAGTCCCCAGCGAGGAGCTGAACCAACATGTCCTCAGCATTGTGCTCGAGTTTGCTTTCCTCAGGGACTATTTTCATAGAATCACAGAATAGTTCGGGTTGGAAGGGACCTTTAAAGGCCATCTAGTCCAACCCCTGCAATGAGCAGGGTCATCTTCAACTAGATCAGGTTGCTCACAGCCCCATCCAACCTGACCTTGAATGTTTCTTCAATGTGCAGACCACAGTATAAAGGCAAGTATGCAGCAGAAAAAAAATCAGTTTGTCACGATCAGAACAGTAATGAAAACCTAATGATGTTAATCAGCTTCCTTACTCATAAGCTGGGTGAAGCCAGGTTAAAGCCCCTGTCTTGGCTGCTGCAAGGCTGAGGATGGCACCGATTCCAAACAGTGCAGCAGTGTTCACTCCACGACAGACACTGCATCACCCATCCACCGACGGCTCCCGGAAAGGACCCCAGGCTTGCTGCTGGCACACATCCTACCACACAGACATGAGCACCATTTCATTTTGTTAAGCTCTGCCACAATAAAACCCTTCCTTCTTAATATCTCAGGTGGACAGCTGACAAGTGGAAATGTCTGAAGGCTTTTTCTAGAAATTAAATGTTGAGAGATGTGTCTTTTCTTGACAAAAAATAAATTATTCTGAACCTCTGGCAGGTGACATAGCTGTTAAGATGAGAGTTATGCTGGTAGCAGCCAGGGCAGGAATTCCTGAGCAGCAGGACAAGCGCGAAAGCCATGAAATCTGCACATCAATCAGATACGGCCTCTCCTGTACGTTGATAACTATCACTGCAATAAGACTCAATAATTAATAACTAGAGAAAATGCCCTCCCTTCATCCTGTGAAAATGATTCTCCATGCGTGACACATCTTTAAGAGGTCAGTAAAACACTTTTAGTTTGACACACACCCTGCTGCATGCCATAAATAAAAGCATGCGTTTGACCCAGCTATGACTTCCAGTGACAGCTTTTTAAGTCTCAAGGTGAACTCACAGTCCAGTTAAGGACAAAAAGGAAACTGCAATTTGTGCTTCGTCTTGCCAAGACTTCACCCACATCCCTTTTCAGCCCAACCTGCCTCATATGCAGCAAAATACTTTCACCATTGCTCATTTATCTCTTACACACTTAACTTCTAATAAAGGCAAATTTAACATATTGAGCACAACAAAATTTTTCTTCTACAACAGTAACTTTGTACTTTTTTCTGTGACAGATCCATGATGCTCCTCTTCTTCACTGAGACAAATGGTGAATGCCACTGTGATGCCTTCAATGTCAGTTTTAAAATTTTATGCCCAAATCCCAGGCTAATTACTCACCTGAGTACATCCTAGGTCCTGCCTACTCTAGTCAACCAAGTGGGACGAAGACACTGTCTTGGGCAACACGCCAGAGCTGCACAGTCTGGTTTAGTTGTTGGCACGCTTCTGGGCACAGCATTGGCCCCTGCCCATGAGCACCCTCCTCACCAGCTGCACAGGGCTCAGGGGACAGTGTGGACTAGGGACTGTCTCCATCACTCTGCATCGGTGAGGTGTCCCCATGGCAGTGGGGGACTAGTGCTACTCCCTCACCCACTCAGTGCTGAGTGAAGGCTGCTGTCTACCACCCAATAAATCTTTGAACTAAGTCATACCACCACGCTTCATACTCCTTGTAGTGATTTATCTGTACAAATGCAAGCCTTGCTGGGGAATATGTCTGTCAGACCAGATGGACCTCGATCTGCATCATTTTTTAATAGAGACGTGGCCTGCGTCTGTGAAAGGAAAGTCCCAGTGTGTGATTACTGGTCCTCTGACCATGACTATGATATTAACCGAAAATATATTCCAGTGTTTTGTCTCAATTTCACAGAGCAAATAATACTGAATTTGACTCAATAGATCATTTAAGAAATATGACAACATCGCATTCTGGGAATGAAAAAAAAAAGTTTCATATGCCAAACTTTGAACAGAAAAAGTTAGGAATTTTACTGATTAAAACAATAACCCCTATCATGATGGAATAACTTCTTCTGTCTGTGTGAATCCAAAAAAATGTAAAATTATAATAACCATGTTGGTTGTTTATAATTATCAAACAAATAGTAGTAACAGCCAGGTATTTTTATATGTCATTGAATTAATAAAATGATATAAATTCTGCAAAGCTTCAAATATATTTGGCTATGTACTGCTCTGATTTGGTAAAAGATGTAATTTCTAAGTGAGAAAATAAAAGATGTACCTCAAAGGAAGGCTTTCTTACAAGTTTGAACCCAATTACTCAGAGCCCCAAATTCACCGACAGCAGCACGGAAAAAACAAATCCTTCAGTGTCACAGAGCAGATTTTTTGTTCCAGCTTCCTGCTACGGGGAAGTATAAATTGGATTGTGGACCACATTTAATTAAATTTAGCTTCAATTGTTACAGTAGGGGAAGAAGAAATACCCCCCTCTGAGGTTCCTGCTAATGGGAATAGAAAAAACAAATCCACTGTGAGACTGTTTGTAGGTAACCGTTGCTCGCTCACTCACCAGCAAGATGAAGAATAGTACCTGCTAGTAAGTGAACTTTGGGCTAAAATAATTTATATATTTCCAGCTCCCATGGAAAAAAACTTCAATCTGTTAGAAATTAAAAAAAACCCAAATCCACTCACATTCTTTTTTAATGAGATGAAAGATCAGAACCAGCAAAATTTAAAGTTGATGATCTGTAGAACCCACTATCTGCATCGTCTTCCTGCATTAATTCATTGGTTTGTCTATTCTGCAAATGTCTCTCTCCAAGAGACATATGGGTGGTTAGGGTTTCCAGCAGGGCTCCGATGGCTGCTCTATGGAAGCAAAGACACCAAGAACAGCTGTAGGAAACAGATGTGCTACTTAGGACATTTTCAGTGAAAGGCCAAGGGACGAATCCTTCATGTGCTACTTAGTTCAGGATCCCTTTATAAAACAAAGGCTGTAAAAAAAACTATTACTGCCTATGTTTTTAGCCTAGCTCCACTTGGAAGCAGACATTCTGGTAGCAAAAGCCCTGCTGGAGTCAGTAAAGGAGAAAGGTTGCAATGGGCAGGGCAGGAGCAATATGTCCTAGGCCCTTTCTGGGGTTAAACTGAAATTGAACCTAAGCCACCCAATTTCCATATGTGTAAGGTGCCAGCTCGGAGAAGCACATCACCAGCTATAGCAGCTGGATGGCAAAGTGGTAACCTGCAGAAATAGTTATTCATTATTCTGGGGAAAAAACGTAGTTTGGTAATTCACAGAAAGCTGTGCACAACTTCATGAAGAAATTAAAGATGTGACACCTACGATGGAGAAATCTCTGTCCTGTAAGAAGAAATATCTGTCCAGATATGAGCAAAAAACTAGTGGAACTTTTGGAAAGAATAAATGCAGTAAACACAGATACCAACTGGGGAAAAAAGCAAGGGTACTCGGAAGGACAAACCAGACACGCCAGCAAGTGATACGAGTCATAGGCTTCTGACAATTTGCCGAAGGAGGCTTCATCCTCAGTTAAGGATGACAGGAATACTCTAACTACTCCTGGTACTGGTTTTACAATAGTGCTAAATTTCCAAATGTTTACCTTAGGCCTGCTCTTTTTTTTTGAAACAAAGATAAGCCAGAGTCAATCAGGAGAACCAGGAAGAGTTGAAATGAAAGAAAAAGTCATGAGGTGTGGACAGTACATACCCACACAGCCTGGACAAACCCTGGGGTGCCATGGCCAAACTGCTGTCAAGAACATGTCCCCCCTCCCTGGAAGTGGCTGCTGTGACCAAAGGGCTGCAGAGCATCTCCTGGGACGGGGCAGGGGCAGCAGAGAGATGCCAGCGCTTTCTAGGCAAGCAAATCACTACTTATGCATCAACTAAGTTACTGAAGCTCTCATCAGAAATACTTATAAAGCAAAAGCAGACAGATAAGGAGAAGCCAGGACAGTTCCTGGAAAAGAAAACTCTATAGTGGCAAGCTATTAGAGTTACTTGAGCTTATCAACAGATAGTGGATAGCTGAAACCCAGCTGACCTTCAGTTTCAAGTTACCTGCAGTTCTTAGCCTCAAATTATTCTATTCCCATTCCATTTAAAATCTATCAACAAACCTTAAAGGGCACAAAACTCGAGTTTGCACAGGGAAGGCGTGCGGACAGGGTGCAGTCCCCCCCGGCACTAGAGGCTCTCTCGACGAGTGGTCATCAGCCTCCCAGAAAAGGCCCAGCCATGGTCTCCACTCAGCTGAAAGCCATCGCCAGAAGGAATGGGGTGACCCAGACGCAGCTCCTGCTCAAGCAGGCGGCTGTCCAGGTGTCCGGCTGCAGGGAGTGCCTGAGCCTGTCACTCGTGCCAGAGGCCAGCAGGGACAACACCCGTGTGCGGTGTGACCAGGTGAGCGACCTGCTCAGCCTGGGGCAGAGCTGGCAGAGGCAGTGGAGAGGCTGAGCAGCATCAGCAAGTGCGAGAGGGAGCTGGATCGATGGAGCCGCACCCTGGCGTCCCTGAGGCAGAGGCAGCAGGTGGAGGCTCTACAAGCAGCAGGGGATCCCCTGCCCTCTTGCTGCTGGGCAGAAGGAGGGGACCCAGGAGACGAGGGGGAATGGAAACAGGTCCCTGCTCGGGGTGGCAGGCGAATCCCCTCCTGGCCTCCGTCACCATCCCAGCTGCCCTTTACACAACAGACATGGGGCTCTGGAACTTGAGGGCCAGGAACATGAGGACCTTGATGAAA